CAGAATCAAGCGAAATTACCACCGCGAATTTCATTCACCACCGGTAGTGAACCGGTAACCTAAGTTCCTATTTTTTCATGAGTGTGTAACTTTATATGCAAAATTCTGTACAGTTGATTTTGTCTTTCCGCTCTCGTTCTGAGTTAACAATGAAAATCGTCTGCTATTACTGTTCACCGTTTTCTTTCGGTTTTTACAGTTAATGTCGCATATTTTCGGTTCTAAAAACGAGTTTAAATGAGAGACCTTTACTGTATATAATCAAGGCACTGTTGTACCAACCATTTATTTTACATTTTTCTAATTAGCTTATTGAAAATGTACTTGTTTTTATTATAGTAATTAATGTTTAATTAGTGATTCGACTCTTGCTTCAGTAGAGACTTGTCAAATTTTTTTTGATAAGTTAACAAAAGTAAAAAGTAGTTGCTGTAATGGGAACCTGATGACAAGCTAATATAAAAAATTATTTAAAATTTGTAGGCAATTAATCAAAATTCATCTTTAAATTCTAGATCAAACCTTACAATTCTTAAATAATACTATGACATCATTTCAATTTCGAATACTTTCGGTTAAAATTACAAATAAGGAGAAAAAAATTGCAGAGTGACTGCCGAATTTTTTAAGTTTTTATATTCTTAATGAAGAACCCTTTCCGGAATCTTCGCTATAATTACAACTGTTACCATACTATTTTAATTTTCTTGTGAGAAAGAATTTTTGAATAAAAAGTAAGAAGAAACAAATCGTCGGCTGTATGCTTGTCGGCCGCATACGCCAAGCACTGTAAACCGAGAAAATTGAAAAAGAAAGTTTGACAAAGAATTAAAGAAAAACTGCGCGCTGGGATTTTTTTATATTTTATATACGAAATAGTACTTTTATTTTTAGTTTTAATTTAAAATTTCAGTTTACGGACTCTTACGGTTCTTGAAATATTGCAATTTTTGTAAGACCAGTCGTTTTGGCCTTTGCTGCATATTCCATGATCTTGTGCAAATTTGAAATTTTATTTTGTTATGGAGCTTTGCGTTATATTTTTAAGGGAAAAACTATATTACTATGAAGCAAACAAAAATTTTCAAAAAATTATCAAATTAACTAAGGGAATGTATGAAGTGGAGCAAAAAAGAAATTAAATTAACATGCAAAACAACAACAAATTTATTATTAAATATTAAAAAAAAAATTTTAAGCATTTAGTACTGAAATATATAAAGTAAAACAAGTTATTTAAGTAATGTTTTTAAAAATTTTTATTGAAATTATTAAATTCCGAAAATTTCATAACAAAAATAATAAGAGTATGCTACCACGATGAAAAAAAGTATAACAACTCAAACAAAACTATTAGCCTCTGCATTTACAAAATGATTTATTGTTCTTTGTTTATATTTTAAATACTATAATATAAAAATATTTAAATTCTTCTTATAATCTATACAGGAATTGTTTTCAAAATAAAAAATTAATAACTTCTTACAAAAAATTAACAGCCTTTTCGTAGCTTAAGTTTTACGAATTAATTATTGTACTTTGTTTCATTTTTAAATGCTATAATATAAAATATTGAAATTCCTATAATCTAACAGTAAATCATTTTAAAATAAAAATTAATTACTTAAAAAAAAAAATGCAGCCTCTTCTTAGCTTTATACATTTTTAAATACTATACTAATAACAGAACGTTAATACATTTGTTGTTTTTTTGTTTTAATTTAATTTAGTAATATAAATTTTTCAATTAAGTTTCAGTAAAGCTTTAAAATACTCTTGATCGACTTTAGGTAAATATGGCAATATAGATTTTATATCACCTTTCTTTTCATTTGTCACATAAGGGCCCATATTTTTAACATTGCTCTCAAATAGATTTTTTTGTCCCTTTTTTATAAATGGAAATCACCTTGAATTCTAGGTCTGAGAAAGAAGTTTTATATTTTAAATTAAATGGTTGATTGCTTTCGTAGAATATATATTTTGCTTTCGTAAATGGTATAGCCGAGTAATTTAATTGGGATGCCATTGCTGAGTAGTTTTTAAAGTCGTTATCTAACATTTGAATTACATCGAGCTTGACTTTAGGCATTTGCATGTTTTCAATTTTATTAAGTGCAGAGGGCTATGTATCTCCAAATTTTTCAAGTACTTTTCAATAACTGAATGAACACAGTCAACCTCCTGAATTTCGGAATGCCTTGGTTCAGAATATTTATGTAAAATTTCTTTGATATTTAAAGATGAATTTATAAAATACTTCATACATGTTGCATTAATTTTATTTTTGTTCTGGGGTACACAACTGTCACTCCATAAAGTTATTCTCGTTAAATTTGGATTTGCTTGGCATACTTTATTTAAAATTTTGGCTAAAGCACTGCAAATGTCATTTCCAGTTCTTCCACTATTGGCTTCTGACCAAACTACGCAATATGTTAGCTTTTCTTTATTTGGAATCATCGCAGTGCCAGTTAAATTAAAAACATTTAACTTTCTTTTGTAAAAAAATGCAGACGCATATCCTTTTGGTAAGGCAAAAACATTTTGCAAATCATAGCATATGATGCAATGATTTGGATCTATGTTGCTTCAATCTACGTCTTTATCCATTGTTGCTAAGTTTTTTTCATGTGTATGCCTTTCCATTTCTTTTGTTTCTTCAACAGTATGTGTGTTGCTATTTTTTGTATGTTTGTTGTATTGTGATGTTTTTTTCCAATGTCTATGCAGCAAAATAAAATTTTTTATAATTTTGAATTTTAATGCTCTATCACGCAGTACTATGTAAATAGAGCACACAAGAAAAACGTAAAAATGTTCTCATTTTTCCATACAAATTGTGCCGCAACAACCAAAAAATGGTTCATGGGGCACATAAGCATTAGAAATTCGTAAAAATGCAGTCTATGGAGCAAACCTGACACTCTGTATCTCAGCAGCAGATCGAGATAGAGAAAAACGGATTAGACAGACAGAAAGAGCATCATTTAAAACCTATAGATCCACTCATAAGTCAAAAAGTGCAAAAGTGGCGTATGGAGCCGATAAGCATACAGCCGACGAAATGTTGTTCTATTCGCCGAGATTCCAGTGAACCTCGAAAATACTGGGGTTATCAAGCGTTTTCTTTTTAAAATATTTTAGATTACACAGTTTGAGAACACATGTACTTGTACGTTTTTGTTGAGAAGAAAAAAAAAACAAAAACGCAAGAATAATTTTAGCTTCTTGTTTACCTGTCCCGTGTCTATTGAAAAATAAATATAACAATAAAACTTGCTTTGGTAACGGATCAAAAAAAATAAAATTGTTTTTAGGATTTCTTTTCGATTTTTGATTTTTTTATTATAATTTTTATTTCATCCCAAAAAAAAAAGAAAACACAAAACTCACAACCGGCTTCACATTGATTGAATTCTCAATACAAAAGGATGAAAAACCTGGCTAGCTGCTTTTTAATAGGCGGTCAATTGTTTTCTTTTTTTTTTTAATTCTCTTCTTGTTATTTGTGATCCTTTCTCAAATTTAAATTTCTATAAGATTTTAGAATGATTTTATATTCGGAAGATATCAAGGTGCATAAAATAGGTATGAAATTATTTAAGGGAATTTTTTTTATGACATATGATGACGACGTCCAAGGACAATCATATCTTTTTCATCTTACAATAATAATAATAATAATAGTAATAATGAAATATTGGAAAATAAATCTTATGGCACATAAAATTAGAACAGTAATTACCCTTAAGCTCGTTTGCCTTTTTTTTTTACTTCTATTCTCGGATAATCTGCATAATTATAAAGATTTTAATTTTTGTTTTTTTTTCTTGACAATGAAAGAATGAATCTGAAATTTTTAGAAATTTCCCTAAGGCTATAATAATATACATATGAAGGATAAAAATGTAAGACAATATAAAAGTAAAAATTACCGCATTCTGTGATGAACGGACTCAAGTATGGGAAGGTAGAAATTTGATATTTGAGCATCCATACCTTCTTATTCTTAAAATATTTGTAATTAGAAGAGGTTTAGGTTAGTTATGTTGAAATTCCAAATTCCAATACTCATACGATGTTTTGCCTTCCCTGGAAATGTCATTATTATTAAATATCTATTGAATAATTCATAGTTATTTGGCAAATGAGAAATTTTTTTTTTTAAAATTTACATTATATGAAACTTCAACAGCGGTAATTCGAATCCGAACCCAAAAATGCAGAAGAGTAGCATTTAATTGATTGCAATATTTATTAATTTCAAGACAGATTCTATCAAATAATTGTTTTTGTTCGGATTTAGTTTACATAAAAATATTTTTGTTAAATGATAACTACCATTACGTCTTGGAGAATTCATTACAGTGTCCAAATTCGAGCAATTATTTTCAATATTTACAAAAACATAGGCTATAATCATAATTTAGGGATATGCATACGAATATAAGATCATAAGACATTTCATGATTTAAATAAAAGGAAAACAGTATACTTAGTGCAGCAGATGCAGCCTACGTACCACAGTAGGAGTGCCTGAATAATATTTCTAAAATTCTAAAATAAGTTTATGAACCAAAAATTATATCACCGATAATCCTATGCAATAAATACCTTATACATAGTGTAATTTAATATTTTATCCCGAAATGAACTGTTCATTCAGATACAACATGTGTATATAGAATAAGATTTTTCGATTGTCTCTCTGCCTTCTTTCTAAGACTCTTAAATTCTAATTCTGGCGTTAAAAAATTTCATTACACATGTTGTTTTATTACTTGGAGTCGCATTAATTTTATTATCAAATTACTAGAATTATAATTCGTGAAATTTGAGTAACACGAGAGAGAAATTGCATGCATTTACTGATTGACATCTAATAATTATTGAAATTTCTCTATCGTGTCATAATAATCTCTATCTCATACAATAAATACTTAAATTCGAAATCATGCTTAATAAAAAATTTTATTTTTTTTTAATTCTCATTATAGAAAATAGTTTACTGATCTTACCACAGCAAAAATGTTGAAAACGATAATGCAATTTTCTGAAAAACATAAAATTATTAGAGGAATGATTAGTTACGCTCTTCTATGGCCATGCGGTAGTTTAATTGGTGAGTAAAATTTTGTTTTTCAACATTTTAAATTGTTTAGGTGAGATAAAATTCATCTACAACTCTAAGAATTATTAAAATTTTTAAAAATTCTTAATTTTGTTTATTTTTTTGGAATTTTAGAACAAACTTTTGTAGAAAAAAAAAATTTTAGTAATTATGATTGGTCAAAATGTATCAAGTAAGTTAAGAAGATTCCCGTGCTTGTGTGAAAAACAATTTTAACACAAATGATTTTAACGAAAAAAAAAGTCATGCCTTCATTTCTAATTCATTGTGTTGAATGTTTTCGATGGATTTTTAATTTATAATTTTAATAATACATATTTCATTATGGTCGACATATACAAGGTGTCTCGTTTCCAAGTCCACTGTTATATACCATTGTATAGGCGCTCATGAGTACAGGTCAATAGATTCGAAGTTACAGGTGGCTTAAAGTTAATTTCAACTGATTTTTTTATTTTTTGAAATTTTAAATATAACTTCGTGTCTGTGTAAGGGAGGTGCATTCTTAAATATGATTTACAAACCTTAGAATAAGGGCTTTCCTTTATGAATATCGATATTAGTTATAATCTGTTCAGATTTCGGAATGACATGCAGATTTCATATTCAATTTCTCATTTTATTGCTCAATTTATTGCTCAATTCTGCTAAATTAATTTTCATTTTTAATTACTAAATTTTTAGGTGTATTGCAATTGTGTAGTGCCAAATTAATATAAAATTTTAATCATTTACTCACATATAATAATTTTTTTTCCAAATTTTTAATAAAAAATTTCTAGATTCAGTTTATTTGGTGGTTTCTTTATGGGACCAACAATTTATATATGGATAAGATTAGCTGGAATTATGTGGCCACGTACTGATATTAAATCATCAATTTCTAAAGCATTAACAGAACAATTATCATATGATCCATTTATGATAGCATCTTTCTTATATGGTATGAGTAGAATGGAAGGAAAGGATCATAAAAGAGCTGCTGAAGAAGTAAGTCTAAAAATTTAATAGAATTTGCAATTCCAACTACATATAAAAATTTTTAATAATTTACTCTTGTAGATAAGAAATAAATTCTTTGATACATACAAAATTGGAGTCATCTATTGGCCAATTGTACAAACATTTAATTTTACATTTATACCACCAAAAAATCAAGTTGTATTTACATCAACATTTAGTATGTTTTGGACATCTTTTCTAGCTTACATTAAATCAGTTAATATTCATCATCCAGTTGATTTAGAAGTACATTTGATTGATGATATTGTTCATTTCTTGGAATTAGTTTAAAATTTTAAAATTATTTGTTTTGTTCTTCAAATTTATATTCAATTTTATTAAATTTGTGAATTAAATTAGATTTTATGTAATTTAAATGTAAAATGAATGAGAACAGTAGAGTAATCAATTAAGTAATTTATAATATCTACTTATTAATAAATATTAGAATTATGTAATACAAATTGTGTTTGCTTTTATTTCTCAATATGAAACAAGGTTTTAAGATCTTTATGTAAACTTGTTAACTTTTACCAGAAATAATTACAAAGAATAACGTAATTTCATCCAATTTAAAGTTGAAGTTCAAATAATCAGGTGTATGGAAGAAAATGGCATCTTGTTAGAGGTTGGGAATATTAAATAATGACTCTGAAACAATTCAAGTGTACATGTAGAGGAACAAGGCGCTCAAAAATTAGTATTTTTTCAACAATCTGTTAAAAACTAAGTAATTTTGCATTTACCGTCAAATTACTTTTACACAAATATTCTCTAACTTGATTTTTTATATCTGAGTTATGGAAGTTCTACTGTTATAATTGTTAGAAATCCTATATAAGAGACAGATAATATTTTGCCCTTAAATATGACAAAGAGCTTCGAAACAACTCGCATTTACAATAATATCGCAATTGGCATAATATTAAGAGCGAGTTATACGTATGTTCAAGGTCTGTTTCCTACGTCACACTAGCAAATATTTAACTAGTTAAAATACAAATTTGACAACTCAAAATTTTTAATTTTGAACATCAAAAGCAAAACTTGTCATTCTTCAATAAAATTTAGTATAATAATTTTGTTATTGTAGAAGTAATTATATCAAAATTTAATTCAATTGTAAAAATTCAAAATCTTACAAAAATGTTCCAGCTCTAATAATCAGTAAATTTGATTCAATTACAATTTTTGTATTATTGGAATAGATATTCCCGTTTCCCTCAGATGATAAGGTCCATAATGCTTTTAAAATTATTAAATAAGTATAATATTTTGAGGGGTATGATAAGTTACGGTATATTATGGCCAGCCGGATGTTTAGTAGGTATATAAACATAAAAATAATAAGAATATCGTAAAAAATTTTAATATAAAAATTTTTAGAACAAATTCTAGTAGAAAAGAAAAAATTTCCAAATTATGATTGGAATCGTTGTTTACGGTAAGCATAAATAAATTAATAATCACAAATCTCAAGACTTTTGAGATCTTGATCTTTTAATTTTCAATTCAATTCTAACAAAAAAAAAAAGATATTCAATTTTTGGATCATTTATTATTGCACCACATCTATACGGTTGGGTACGATTTATAAATATTGCTTGGCCTAATAAAGATTTTAAATCGACACTAGCAAAAGTTTTCGTTGAAGAAATTTCTTTTGATCCGTATTTAATTGCAGTATTTTTTTATGGTATGGCCATAATGGAAGGTGAATCTAATAGAAATGCATTAAATGAGGTAAGTATTCGAATATTTACACATGATGAATTTCATTCGTAAATCATTGAATTCACTTGATGGCCAAATTGCTGCTCTTAATTAAACAAGTTTTTGATAAATTATAGGTGTTGCCAGACTTTTTTTTTTACAAATTATTGCATACAAAATTAACAAAATTATTTTCATACATTTTAGGTAAAAGAAAAATTTCCAAAAACGCTCTTATATAGCATTTTATTTTGGCCTACTATACAGCTTATTAATTTTAAATATATTAGTACTGGTTATCAAGTTTTAACGATTTCAGTTTGCAGTTTCTTTTGGACACTAATTTTAGCTTTAATAAAATCATCAAATAAAGATGTGAATATATTTATGAATTAATAAAATTTGTAATTTATAAGAACACAATTGTTTTTTATTTTGAAAACGAAAAGGTTTCCGAAATGTAATTGAAAATATTTTAAATTTTTCATTTTTCTAAATAGTTCATAAAACATCTTAAATTTTTCTATAATATTTATTCATAACGATATCAGCTCCTCTACTATTAAAATCTAATACTAAGAATTTTGCAAAAAAAAAAAAATTATGGTTTGTGTACATAATACAAAAAATTTATTTTAGTAAAGATTTTTCATTTTCGTCAATTTTCTAATCTAAATAAGCTCTATCTAGTGATAAGTTTCCATATACTAAATTAAAACTTTATTATTTATTTATTCCTTCTGTTTGATAGATGGCGCACGCATTACATAAAAGATTTTTATTTTATAGTGTACAATGTACATGCATTTTATTTCTTGATTAATTGCACATTGTAAGAAATGGAAATTTAGAAAATAAGAAAAAGAAAAATATTGCAACGTGATATTTTTTGTAAACTTTGTAATTATAGATGGCACTTTGATTAGAAATTTTTTAATTAATTATTTTTAATTAATAAAATTATAAGCATAATATTAAGTTCCAATCCAATTAACCCTTAACTAATAATGTGTTTTTCAGTTCGTGTATAGCTGCTGATTCAATGGTTATTTTTGAGATCCATAATTAAAAGTCTATAACTTTTGTAAAAAGAGAAGCAAAAAAATTTTTTTGTTTTTTAAAATTTTTTAAGTAAATAAGTAAATTTATTCAAAATTTCACTCTGATCAGTGATTTATGTACAGAGTGATTCAGTAATAAGTGGTACAACATATGTATGTATAACATCAATTATAGGTTTCATAGCACAACAGTTTCTGAGATACAGCTTATATGTAAAATACTAACATAATTCTAATTTTTTAAAAGATGCTTTCCCTTGGTCTATTCTGGGACCTGAAACATCACAAGATCCTTTTGTTGTAGAGTTTTTTCAAGAATTTTTATACATGCTGCATAACCATAATGATATTTGTGAGTCAATCTTGTTTATTTTCAATACAGATCTGTATACTTCTTGGGTTTAGATATCCTTCTTACTGTTATACATACTAACCCCTATATAATTTTTTGTTATATATACCCTCTATATAATATAAGTATATCAAATAAGGAAGTTCTTATATAAGAAAAATATTTGGTGTCCTGTTGATATTTGACATTTTAACACTTCATTAAAACCCTTAATTTTTTAATCTTTAAATTTTTCACTTTTCGCTTGCCCCATTTTTGATTCATTATTATTAACATTGTGTGTGTGTGTTGCATTTAGTGTGTAAATTAAAAAAAAGAAATTCAAAGATTTCTTAAATTTCATTGTGATTAAATTTTAATAATTGCGTAACCAATTAAATTCTTTCAATTAAATTTAAATTAATTAATTATGATAAAGCAATTATGCATGAATAAGTTTGTGCTAACGCCCAATACAACCAAAAACTGGTTTTTTTATTTTATTCTGTAGATTTCATGCTGCAAAACTTGTTTTTCTCTTAAATTATAAATTTGAACTGGTTATACTCTTGTATTTGTGCACGCATCATATTGGGCTCATAAGAAAAAAAAAGATTTACTTAATCCGTAAGTGATTCGTAGTAATAATAACAGTAATAATAGCCATATTTATTTTATAATTATTAATTAAAATGGAAGCAATAATTGCCTGTTCTAATCACAACAACCCCATTTGAGTGAAGAGAGACACATGGAATTTTCTCAATAATAAAGAGAAATTTTTGATATAGAGCAATCGCAGTATTTTATGAACTTATTTGTGTACTTGTAAACTCTATACCCTAACACACAAACATATTTTAATTAAGCAAATTATCATTCAAGGAGACGAAATTAAATAAAAGTTTAAATCACTTATTTGTTTGTCATAATGGGGAAATAAGATGCTGCAGTATTCTAATAGAACATCGGGGATTATAACAAGCGCATCATTGGTAATTGTACGTTAATTATAACAGTTAAAACACTTGAATAATTTTTGAAAAGTACTTGGCTTTCAAAATATTTTTTCGGATATAAAACAATAATCAACTCTAAAGAGATTCGCGAGCGTGGATTCGAATTTCTGCAAATTTAAAATTTGACATGAATACTGTAGAATTCACTAATATACTTATATATTTTCTATTTTTCACTATAATAGCCAGACATTGGTAATAACACTATGTAAGGGACAAAATGTCTCTTAGGTATACTTTTTGAAAATAGTTCATTTCACTTTCCTTGCAATTTCCTTCCAAGGAAATTATTTTGTTTGAGTGTCCATTAACATATTAAGAATAAACAGTTTATGTTACATCAATTTAATTTGTAATCAATTTTTTATATTAAGCAAATTGTGTGCAGGCGATTGACATTGTCAGCTCATATTGGATTAGACGTTCAACTGATTAAAATCTTAATATATGAGATTAAATTCAAACACATCAATTGATATTTTTGGATAATAAAAAATTTTTAATACATAATTAAATATTTATTAACTATGGTGGTTTGCAATTTAACTGCAAAATTAATAGCAAAAATGCAGCTGCCATTTTTAACAACTCTGCACATAAAGGATTTGGTATTTATGCTTATATATCTTATCGCTTTTCTGGAAAAAGCATCTTTAACTATAAAATTCGGTAACTAATTAATAAATAAATGTAAAGAATGTAATTTTACAACTTATTTTTTAAAAGTAATTAAATATTTAGTTATAAAAATGAAATTTTAATTTTAAATAAAAATTTTATAGCAAAAATTTGTATTGCTATTACTAATATCCTTGTTTTTATATCCGTACGAACGCATATTCGAAGGGTATACTAAATTTGCCTTACCGTTTGTAATAATGATCTGAGATATAGACTTAAGTGTATGTTTTTGATCAACGTCGAATTCTGAGTCGATTTAGGTTCGTTTAGGTCCGTCGGTCTGTCTATCCGTCCGTCCCAACGATAACTCAAAAACGAATAAAGCAATCGGCACCAAACTTTCACAAGTTGTTTCTTTTGTGCAAACGACGGTTGCTATTACAATTGAGCCAATTCGGACAACGGTTTCGGGTAGCTACCACACAACTCAAAGAGATTTTTTTTAATTCAATAAAGATAACAATATCAAATTTCTCAAAGATGTGTCCAATTACACTCTTCATATGTTCTGAAAGTTTTGATGGAATGGCTGCACTGATTCGGGTAGTTGCTATACAACTCCATAAGCC